ATACTATGTTGTTTCCCTACTTTGGTTGAAGACCAAAGGCTCTCTTCAACCAAAAACCATGGGTAATTATAGAACATAACAAGAGCTGAAGGACTACATTTGGTCCTTAAGAAATGACGATTGAATGGAATAGTCAATTGAAAAGTGGAGCTTAGCATGAACATCAAATATTTTTGGCATCTTTCTTTTTGTCCAATTTTTGTAAAGCAATAAAAGAATATAAAACCAGGTAAAAAAGAAAACAGAAAGAATGTAAATTGTTTAATGTCACCATCATGAGACAACAATTCTATCCACAAGAAAATAATATCCCCACAACCGCTTGAGTGATGTGTTTCTTTCACGCGTTTCAAATCAATATCATTCCTTCTGGAAAAATTTGTTCATATTTATCAAAGCAAAATGACACTTTATGGCTGTAAAAGGTTAAAAAAAATTGCGATAGAAAAAAGTTGAATAAGCTTACCTTAAATTTTAAAATTTGATTTTGAATTTTAGGATATACAATTACACAATAGATAAATAAACTAAAGGCATTCCCAAAATATCTATAATATTATCATAAGTAATATCAATCTCACACAATAAGAGTTCAGATTATTTTATTTTAAGTGGATGGAGATAATATCTTTAAATTTTTCAAGATTGTAGTAGTAATGGAATAAATAAAAGAAAAGAAAAGAAAATAGTTCCTAATCGACATTATTATTTTGGCTTTGGTGAGGTTTTTAAAATTTAAAGTATCATTTTTACTATTTTCTCGGTCAATATATGATTTTCTCATATTAACCCTAGCAATCTCATAGCAAAAACAATAATCCAATACTAATCAAGATTGCATCTAATAAAATGAGTTATTTTCTCACAACGTGATGAGAGATGCCTATACGTAGTACTCAGCAGTATTTTACATAAGATAGCCTTTGATAAGAGACAATTTGAAATGAAATAAACTTACGTAAAAAGAAAAGAATAAATTATAAATTAATGTAAATTTATCCTTCTCACGAGTTCACGATGTCTGCGGTTGTGGAGCGCGGGGGGAGCGCATTCCGGTCTCCAATGCCTTCATGCCTTCTCCCAAACCTGTTGCTGTCTCGGTTGTTCCTTAACTTTTCTTTTAGTTTTAGTCACTCTCATAAGTCATACTTTTTCCTTAAAAAAATAAAAAAATAAAAAAAAAAAGAAAAGCAAGTAGTATCATAATAAAGCAACTTATTATTTAAAAAAAATTAATCATTTAATCCATATATTTTAATCTAATTAGAATTCAATTTTTAAATTTTAACTAGTTATAACTTAGTCTTTTATAATTTTAATTCGATTCTAACTCAATTTAAATTTTATTTCTTATAATTTAATTCTTATATTTTAATCACTTAAATATCATTTTTATATTTTAAAAAATAAAATTATAAAGATTAGAAATGTTTTGGACATTTAATATTTATAATACTTAAAGATTAAAAGATTAAGATTATAATATTTGAACTTTTAATATTTGTAATATTAGTAATAAAATTATAAAGACTAAAATTATGCTAAAAATTTATTACTAATATTTTAAATTATTAAACTCTTTTAATCTTTATAAATATTAAAGATTTAAAATATTTTTAATCTTTATAATTTTATTTTTAAAAATATAAAGATTAATATTTAAGTTGTTAAAATTATAGGGACTAATTGTAAGAAAAAAATTCAAGAACTGAATTATAATCGAGTTAAAATTATAAGAATTGAGTTATAATAGATTAAAGTTTAGGGATTGAGTTATAATTGGGTCAAAATTACAAGGAGCAAATAATTAATTTTTCCTTTTAAATTTTTTGTTTTTTTGGAAATTATTATTTTAATATTAAAGTTAAATCATTAGAGTTTAGTTAGAGAATGAATCGACCAAATTTAAAAATAAAAAGGAGCAGGGAAGTTTACCACCTTGCAGCCCCACTTAGCTGTATTTAGGTATATTAGCTGCTGTATTTAGGTATATTTGGTTAAAATTCAAACCTCAATTTGGGTCATTTAAATCCCAGTTTTGGTCTAAAAAATTAAGGTTAGACTATTTAATTTTGTTTGAAAAAATTTGATAGGAAATGGCCTTTGATTTAAAGACGAGGTTAGGTACGTAGCTGAATTTCTTAACCTTTGGCTTTCCTAATTATTTAAAAAAAACACAAATCAAGTTAAACTAATTTTTAAGTAAATATTTAAATATGAATCATATTACAGTATTTAAATTTCACCTTCAATTTACAAATTTCAATTTATGAAAATTTTAGTTTTACATTTTAAATCCAAACGCACCTATAAAAGAATAGTATCATCTCTTCCTAGACAGCATATTTGCCTACGTCCGTTTTATATATAAATCACTTTTAATTATTTTATCAAACTCAGAAATAGTTCAATTATTGATTTTATAAAAAAAATAAAAGTCTCATAAAAAAAAGGTATGGTAGGACAAATAGATATTTTTTAAGTCAAACTAAACTAAACAAGAAACTTATTAAAAAAAAATTAACAGATACAAGTTTTTTATAGCAACATTTTCAAAGTAGAAAATTTTAATTATTAGCAATTTTTTTGCTCAAATGTCACCATTTTATATGCCATTTAATGTTATTACAGTAAAGTCCCCACAACACTCCGGTGATCTAGTCGGCTCACTACACCTACTCATTTATCAGTTATCTCTGAAAACGACAAGCCCACTTCGCTTCACGAGCCCCATTTTCGTATTGCCCTGCCTCTGCATCTCTTTCGGCAAGAATGGCGGCCCTCTTCTTCGCTTCCTTCTTCTCTGCACTTTTCTATTTACTTCTCCTTGTTCAGAGCTCCAAAAGCCCAGACTTAGAAGCTCTCATGGCGTTTAAAGCTGCGTCAGACACGTTCAACAAGCTCTCAACTTGGAACTCCAGCACAGACCCTTGTACTTCTTGGTCCGGCGTCTTTTGCCTCCATAACCGAGTCTCTCGTATCGTTCTCGAAGACCTTGATCTCCGAGGCTCTTTCGAGCCTTTGACTTCTCTAACCCAGCTTCGAGTTCTGAGCCTCAAGCAAAACCGCCTCTCCGGCCCCATTCCGAGTCTCTCCAATTTCACGGCCCTGAAACTTTTGTACCTCTCTTACAATGAGTTTTCCGGTGGGTTCCCGGCGACTCTCACATCGCTTTTCCGCTTGTACCGTCTTGATCTGTCTCACAATAACTTATCCGGCGAGATTCCGGCCACGGTCAACCATTTGACCCACGTTCTCACTCTGTGTCTTGACGAGAACCGTTTCTCCGGCAACATTCCCAGTCTGAACCTTCCAAACCTGCAAGATTTCAACGTCTCCGGGAATCGCCTCTCCGGCGAAATTCCCAAATCACTGTCGCGTTTCCCTCAATCGAGTTTCGCCCTAAACCCGTCTCTCTGCGGAGCTCCGATGCAGAAATGTGCCAACTTTGTGGCCGAACCCAGCAAACCCGGATCTGAAGGAGCCATTGCGTCGCCATTAACTCCGCGAAGTAACCCACCACGACCACCAAATATATCATCCACACCGAGCTCCATGCCTGCAAATGAAGCAACAACTCCCAGAAAATCCAACTCACCAGCAAAAATTAGCCCCCTAGCTCTGATCGCTATTATTCTTGGCGACATTGTGGTTCTCGCTGTTGTCTCTCTTCTTCTCTACTGTTACTTCTGGCAAAACTACGCTGCGAAATTGAAAGAAGGAAAAGGTTCGAAGCTCATGGAGAGCGAGAAAATCGTGTACTCATCGAGCCCGTATCCGGTGCAATCGGGCTTTGAGAGGGGTCGAATGGTGTTCTTCGAAGGGGTGAAGAAGTTCGAGCTAGAGGATTTGCTTCGGGCTTCAGCGGAAATGCTGGGAAAAGGCGGGTTCGGGACAGCGTACAAGGCTGTTCTGGACGACGGCAGCGTTGTCGCCGTCAAGAGACTTAAAGACGCTCAGATTGGCGGGAAGAAAGAGTTCGAGCAACACATGGAAATTCTGGGAAGGCTGAGACATCCGAACATTGTTCATCTGAGAGCTTACTATTTTGCCAGAGACGAGAAGTTGCTGGTCTCCGATTACATGCCCAATGGAAGCTTGTTCTGGCTTCTTCATGGTACGTGAATTTCATTTTACTTGCAATCATTAAATCTTTTGGGTTGGGTTTAATGAATTTGGCTACTTGGAAAAGTTGGCGAACAAGAAGATTCATTCCCACAAAGATGAAGAACGCCAATCATACTCTTGTTCTTGGTGGCTTCAGCATTAATTCATGTTACTTAATTATCCCTTCTGTTACTACCTTCCTGATCAAACATGGTTGAATAATGAAAATGCAATAGAACAGAGCAAGACATGCCTAATTGTAGGGTGACGATGGATCTAGTAGGCTTTAAGCGGTCGTCCTGTGGATTATTTTCTTAAAACATTCAAGTTGGACCATGTAATTATGAATATTTATACAGAAATTAAAACACAGTACAGTGCGGGGATATTACTGATTTAATTTAACAGCTCATTTTTGCGTGACAGTGAGCAAGATGACTCTGCAAAGTTATATGGATTAAAGCTGCAGATTTGATAGGGTCCATTTAGAGCTTCTTGCTTTTTTCAAATCATTGAAGTTGGACCATGTGATTATGGATGATTCGTTAATTGGTTATTTGAACCCGTGGCAATTTTATATTCTTTTTTCTTGTACGTTGACGAGCAAGCTGTGGCAGACGATAGCAACTGTAAAAAGCGCAGGAGCTATACTGCACAAAATCACTGTCTTCTTTTGCTTTTTGTTCTTTTCCAGAAACATGTCCTTGTGCTTTTATCTTTAGTACTGCCAGATTCTGAACCCCTCTGGCAAGTTTTCCAGAGAAGACTGAAAAGAACTGAATGTCAAATTCGTAATTATGCAAAACCTTATGGGTAATAGGTTATCTTTTCTTTTTTCCCGACAGGTAACCGAGGACCTGGGCGGACCCCACTGGACTGGACCACGAGGCTTAAAATAGCAGCTGGAGCGGCGCGTGGAGTGGCTTTTATTCACAGCTCGTGCAAGTCCCTTAAGCTCACCCACGGTAACATCAAGTCTACAAACATCCTCCTCGACAAGGCGGGAAATGCGCGCGTTGCAGATTTCGGGCTCTCCATCTTTGCTGGCCCCACCGCCCCGAAATCCAACGGTTACCGTGCTCCGGAAGCCCTTGACTGTCGGAGGTGCACTCAGAAATCCGACGTGTACTCCTTGGGCGTCGTCATGCTGGAGATCCTCACCGGGAAGTGCCCCTCCTCCGTGGACGGCGGAGGCTACGGGGGAAGTGCGGTGGTGGATCTTCCGAGGTGGGTACAGTCGGTGGTGAGGGAGGAGTGGACGGCGGAGGTGTTTGATCTTGAGCTCATGAGGTACAAGGATATTGAGGATGAGATGGTGGGGCTGCTTCAGATTGCTCTGGCTTGTACAGCGGCTGCGCCTGATCAACGGCCCAGCATGAGCCACGTGGTCAAGATGATCGAGGAGATACGTGGGGTCGAGGTATCGCCGTGTCATGACACGTTCGACTCTGTGTCTGATTCGCCTTCCGTGTCTGAAGATGCTTCTTGAAGCTCTTCTTATTCAGAGCGGGAAAAAAAGTATTCAGGTTTTCCTTGAACCATCTTTTAAATATTTAGTTAGATTAATCGATTGTCGTGATTGTGATAATCAAATCGTTGCCAAATGAAAATTTGTGAAATTAGCACTATTTTTTTTTTTGCCAAAAAATTTGCACTAAAGTTAAAGTTGATATCTTTATTTCTCCTCGCGAAAGAAGGGTTGTCATGTGAGAACCGAAGACATTGATACAAAACAAAATGAGAAGGTGGAACAGAGTGTTACTCTTTCAATCAACAAGAATGAAACTTTTCATTCTTACATACACTAACCAGAATAAAGTTTCTTTCTTTCTTTATTTGTTTTTTTGCCTTGGCGGTATAATCAGAATAAAGTTTTTGAGTGAGAAGGGTAAAGCAGTTTTGAATTTATTCCTATTCTTTAGATTGATTGGCAAAGTTGCTAGCTTTAATATGAAGTTGCTTTTTTTTTTTTTTCCCAATAAGAATTGGAAGAGATATTCCAAAATTAGAAGTCCTTGTTCTTTTCTTCCCCCGGTTGAGAACCTGGTTCGGGGCTTGCCTCACTCGACTAAGAGGATTTAACGAGGTCCAAATTAATCTGGGTTGAGACATAACAAGAACGACAAGGAAGGGTGCTTCTAACCACTTACACTCCTGCATTTTTCAAACTCGAATTCAAGATCTCTAATTAAATTAGAGTATTTGAAGTCCTTATTTGACCTTGTGGTCTGAGGCATCAACTTTTCTGACATGTGCAATTTGGAGGACAAGAGGTTTCTGCGACCAGCGTCTTAGGCAGTGTTTCGGTTTCGGATAGTTTGGGACTTTAAAATGGCATGAGATGAAGGACGCTGACTAGATTTTAAAATGAGTAAAATAGTCCCAAATAGGGCAGAAATATCCGGCTACTCATTTAAACCTTTTTAAAAAAAAAAAAGAAAATTGATTTTAAAAGTTTAGCTACTTTTATATAAAAATGATTTTGAGCCTTAATTTTTTAAACCTTAGACTTGAATTACTCTTTTAAGTGCATACTTATTTTAATTCTAAAAAATAATTTTATATATTCAGATCTGAGCTACTCATTTAAACCCATATTTATTTTAATCTTAAAATAATATGATATTTTATAAATTTGGATTCCATTTAAATTTTAAAATATTTGTTTCTACTTTAAAATTATAATTTGTATTACTTATTTTGAATTTTTGAACATTTTTGGTTGTACTTCAAAACATAAATACATGATAATAATTTGGCCAAAAATATATATAATATAATAATAAAAATATTAATTTTGAAAATAAAAATAAATTAAACAATGAAGACAAGCTTTTGAATAAAATTTCGAAACATAATTAATAAGAATCGAGCTTGAAGAATTGATTAATTTTAAAATAATTGGGCTTTTAGGCTCAAGTTCATAATAGCCAAGCTCATGCACATTGCTTTCACTCATTTGTTGACTCTAAATTAGGATTACCTTTCAAGTTATTAGTGACTATCTTAAACCCATTTCTTCTAAACTCCAATTTGGGGATGGAGAATGGAGGATTTGGATCTCATACTTGTAGCAACTATAGGATTGGATGCTTACTCTACAAAAAGAATTTTGCCAACAGCCACCACAGTTTTCATGAAAATAACATTTAAAATTTACAAAAGCCACGCTTTCCTAAAAGATGTGGCTATGTTTTACCACGATTGATATAGCGACATTTGTTTATAAACTTTGGTAGAGGGTTTTGCCATGCTTTTAAATCATGGCTACTGAACTAACTAAACTATGCCTAGAAACAGGTTTGGTTGTAGTGTTATACCCACGTGGCAAAATCCTTATTGTTTATTAAATCAAGGGTTTGAATAATATTGTTGCAACCAAAATCAAAAAACACTAAATCTAAATCTCTTAAATTAAGAGTGTTCACAAGATGAAACGAGACAAGGACACTTTTATCTTATGTCCTATCTCGTCTCATCTCATGAAAAATTAGGATAGGATCAAGTTTGAGATGTGCCTCCATCCCGATAAAAAAGACAATATGAGAGAAATGCTTAAATAATAATATTCATTAAAATTTTAAATCACATAACTTATTAAATTTAAAACTAAAATAAGATGAGTGCATAAACCACAACAATTTAAAGTTAAATATTGAATTACATCAATCACAACTATAAATGTACAACTTAAAATTAAATATACATGAGACATAATACATTATGATAATAATCACAAATGATCTCTAGGCTATAAGAGTAATAATAACAAACAAACTAAGCACAACATCAATTTATTATTCTTTTTTCTTTATCTAAAATATGTTGAGCTAGTGATTCTTTTAAAAATAAAGCAAAATACAATATAAATAAAAGTTATTAAATAGAGAGATATAAAAATAAGTTGTATTAATATAATTAATATATTGTAAAGAAAGAAATTACCTTGTATTTCTTATTTTGTGTCATTAAAATTATTAATATAATTTTTTTAATTTTAAATAGGAATTGCATGTATTGAAATTATAATTAATATAAATATAAATTATACTAATGTAATTAATATATTTAATGTACATTTTTAAAATAAAATAATATATATATATATATATAAAATATTTGGGATAAGATGGGATAAGATGTCCCGAGGGCTATCCTATGTTCCATCTAGTCCTAAAGCCCCTTCCCATCCTGCAAAGTTGCACCCTATTTTTTTTAGCCAGAAAAACTTACCTTGATATAATCGGGATGAAATCAGGTCGACCAAGATAAGTATAAGGTTGAATACCCCTATCCTAAATAACATCGTGAATGTCTAGCTCATTTCTTCCCTATAATTTAAAACTTTCTTAAACAGTGCATGCCTATATTATTATGTTTATACATATGATATTTTCCATCCATCTTTCCAATAATGATCTTTGTATTATGATAGATGAGTTTATATTATATATTATTTATGAATGGATTTATATTATTATATTATTGTTTTTCCCCTTTATGCGTTGCTCAATATCATAGGAAATGGAGGAAGATTTTATATCAACAATAGGCAAGGAATTTGACAATGTAGACTGCAGAAGAACCATGAAAATTTTGGACTATAAGTTCGGAAATGAGCTAGACATTCACTATTTGATGTTATTTAAGAGATCTGATAGATTTGGATTTAGTGTTTTCTGATTTTGATTTCAACAAGATTATCCAAATCTTTGATTTAATGAACCGCATGAATTTTTCCTGTAGTTGCCATGGGCATGGGATCCAAATCTGGAGAATGGCATGGTCAAATATAAATAACATCATCAGAAAACTTACCATAATCATTCTTACTCCTTCTCACTCTTTCACTTCTTTCCACTCTAAGACTAAAACTGAAAAAATATATAATTATAACTAATTTAAATCTACTATAATAATTATTAAATTATATTAAATTAAATCATTCATTCCCTCTAGTAAAACCTCCCACTCCCAGCAATGAAATGTTCGATTCCATCCCACCCCACTCCTTTCATTCCATCAATCACCATTTCGTTCCTTTTCATCTTATAATCTCTAAAGCATCAAGTTTTCTGTCAAGATACATGCGGAGGGTGTTTGATTTATGAATTTTTATACGGAAATACGAAATCCGTTACAAGAACTCCAGACAGTAAGTATCAAGATAAGTAAATAATAATGCTTGTAAACCAGGGGGAAAAAGAAAAAGAATAAATCGAATAATCTCTCGAATAATCTTTTCATCAAGTTTTCACATCTTGTATATATCATCACTTGAGTCTTCTCAAGGTACTTCTCCAGTCGAACTTATTCAGATCCGCACCTTCACTATCTGAGAAATGCATAACCCTAGGAGCAATCGCCAGAAGCTTGGGCAAACTAGAAGGCGAGAACTTTCTAGCAAACAAAAAACACACGTTGGTTTCTTTACCCCCATTATACTTGCACGTCTTGTTCCTCAACCTCTCCAACAACTCAGGAGTCACCTCACCGTTCAAGAACTGGTTCGGATGGGGCCCACCCTTGGACCAGTCAACCCAGGTCAACGACCTGTTCGAGTTTCCCTCGTAGAACTTGATGCTCACGAACGTAGGCAAGTAATGCTCATCCGCATAACAGTCACCATGACAGTACTTCTGAAACACAGGGAAGTACACTCTGTCGGAGACAACCTCGAGTGCGAGGTTTCTGTCCATTTCGAACCACTGTGAGCCTTTTCGCCATTGTCGGAGGGACACTAGTGGGAGCATCCTGGGTTTGTAACGGCCACGACCAACCCAGCTAGGGTCGTCGTAGGCCATGACGTAGGTCTGCTTGGAGTTGATGAGGTAGGTGTAAACGGTGGAGAAGTTGAAGAGGGGGATGCAGGATTCCGACAAGAGGACGAATCTCTGGTTCGAGACGTCGAGGAGGGCGTTCGCCAACAGCCGTCGCTCCGCTTCGATCATGTCGACGTTGCCCCAGTGAACTTTCTGCATGATACGTGATGGACATGAAAGTGTTAGTCGGTGTTGATGGTGGCTGAGTTAGGTTGACCCAGTTTATTATTATTGGTAAACTAACTAATTATAAAGCAACATGTAGCTATGTTCCGGTCCCACAAAAACAAGTGAATTAATTATAATTTAATGTTTTTTACTTTTTGGTACAGCAGCTGCTTAAGAATTTTTCAGAAGCCATAAGCGAAGGAAATTGAAGTATCTCTTTCTTTGGTTGGTTCTGAGTTTTATTGTGCTTTGTTTTCTTATAGAAGCAAAATGCAAAAAGTGGCCATGAAGTATAACCTAGGAACATATGTCGGGAAATGCATGTTGCTGAGAAGTTGAGAATGTTGAAAAAGCTGTTCTTTTGTGCCTCATGAGCTACCTACCAATGGCTTGGAGATATAAGTGGGACACACGGCTCTGTCTGAGTTAGATCTAATGAGAGTGGACATACCATGTGGGATAGGACCAGTTCATAAAAGATGAACGTGGTGATAAATGTGGCAGTTGTTTCAGTTCAAAAAGAGGATATGTATTTCTGATCTCCAAGTTTTTTTCTGTTAGAACTCGGACGACCAAAATGGCACTTTCCTTATTAAAAAATCTTTCTAAGAATACCCTTTTGTCTATTTACTATATTTCCCAAAAAGAGCTCTCTTTTAGACAAAAAAATTTCTCAAAAAGACTACGGGCAATTTGAAGGGTTAATTTCTTTACTGACTGCAATTTTGTGGACCCTATATGAATCAATTACTGACTCCCTCTGTTTTGTTTCTTGTTCTGTTTACATCCTCATCTTATCCTCTTGGTTATTCTTTTCCTCCTCTTCAACAGAGATTAGACCAACTATACATATGCATACAATGAAGCAAATGCATAGAGTATGTGAATTTGACTCAGACTAAAAGAATCATTGGAGTCACTTGGTATCATCTTTTATCATGTCATGATTCAGATTATGGTAAAGAAAGTCCAGATGACTGCCATTATTGATGATAGCTAGACACTAAATCTATGAACATGTGGGCATAGAAATGGAAAGCAGTTGATAAGCCTTCCTCTGTTTTGTTCTGTTTTCTTTACTCTCGTAGCCTCGTCATTGGTTTTCTCGTCCTCTGTTCCCTCGTATCATAGATTAAAACGAGTTGTATGCATACAAATAAGGAGACTTGAAAATAGCGACTTTTTAGTTGTTACCATCATTTTTGGGGCCCGAAAGAGCAAAACAAAGTAGAGTACATTTAAATATGATTGATAATTAAATAGAGTCCAAATCAATTTATTAACCATTTTATTTAAGTAGAGGAGAAACAAACTGACCTTGCTAGGAATTCTTCGGCCACGGAACACTGGGCTCTCTGGGTCAGATCCATTGTAAGATGGGTCTGAGTGAACATAGATTGAGTAATACCCTTCATGTCCTTTGAAGAACAAGTCCCACAAAGGAGCCAAACGCACAGGACCTTTCGTCAAGAACAAGAAGGCCACCTTAGCAACACGCTGGAAAGGGTACTCGGAGATCCTAGGAGACATCGAAGCTCTCCACAGAAGCTCCTTCTCGTCCATGTCGTGCATGACCACAGGAGGCTTAAGGTACTCCTTCATGTAACTACTGTTAGACTTAGAGGCAGGAACATCAGGCATCTCTGGTTTTGGTCTTTCAGATATTGGTGGGGGTCTGAATATTCTTGGTGATGACAATGAAGAGATCGAGAACTTGGTGAATTCGACACTAAAGTTGCAGTTCTGAAGGTAGAAGCTGATGATGATCCCTAGAGTTATCCCACAACCCAGAAGGATCAAGTTGGGAATAAGACGAACCAGGTGGCTTTGAACATTCAAAGGCTTTGGAACTGAGTTCGTTGGGTACTGATAGTTTTGGTTCTTCATTCTTTCTGGTTTATCTAGCAGAGGCTTCTAAAGATTATCTTATATACTCAAAGCCATAATAGATGAAAACAGAACCAATCTGTGAAACAAGGATTACCAACAGCTCAAACTGATATGATAGCAGATTCTTCAGAAAGATCAGACTTTAGCCAACACAGAACTGTGACATGTGTGTTTGTATTTTGGATACAAGAACACACAAACGCAAATAGTTAGGGAGGGATGTGAATATGCGTGTGTATTGCAACGCGCATTGGCTTATATATACATTCGTGATGAAATGAAGTTAGATTGTTGTTGTTGTTTTTGCCGAAACTTCAAAGAAAACGCATTGATTTGTTGTTGTTGTCGTCGTTGTGTTCCGGTGCCGTCTTGTACCGGTGGTCCTGGTTGGAGGAATATCCAAACGACGTTGACGTTTTCTGTGGAGTTTTCAACCGTTGAAATTTATGTAACGACGACGACGAAATTACGAGAAGCCGCCAGCCTTCCACCTTCTTCGTCTTCTTAAAGACGTGTTTGGTTACTCCTTTTTCGTGCTCCTTCGTTTCAAGAATTCAATTCCTGGAGACAACTGGCATGTGCTAGAAAAATCCCATGCAGATGGAAGCACCCTGAAGAAGACTTTTTCGTCACAGGGTTCATTAATTTTCTACCAATAATCAAGAATAATAACATGTGGAAAATGATGTGAGTGATGGAATTGGTAGGTTCGGCTCAAGTAATTGACAATTGATGTTGAGAAATCTAAAACTGGAAATATTTATTTAAATATTTAAAAATTTTAACTTGTTTTAAAGGCCTTATAAAGATGATATTAATGTAGAGTCATTTTTCTAAATACTAATAAGCTGAAATGTAACAGCAAATTGTATGAGCAATAGCAGAGAAAGATATGTATTTATAATGTAAAGTTTCATATTTAGTTATTTGTTTTAATAAGAAAAGGTAATGTTATTGTACTCACACTTCCAGTTTAAAATTGTGTAAACAGTTAAAAAATTAATTTACATAATGAAGTATTTGTTCTTAGATAGTTCTTACTCTCAAGTTTATTTTTCTAATGTTTAGTTTCAAGAAAATATGTAATTAGGTTATAGAAGGTGTCTTCATGCATGAAAAAATTAAACCAAAATATATGATATTTTTTTGCTTTAAATAATGATTGTGTATATATTAAAATCATAAGAGAATTTATAGAAAATTTTAATTGCAAACCAAATACATTTTTTATTTCTATTTTATATATTTGAAAACAAATTTTATTCTTTTTAAAATTATAAATATTTACTAACTCAACTAGCATAAGAATTTTGTAACCTTTTTTTCCCTCTATAGTCTTAATCAATTATTAATGAATGATTAATAGCAAGAAGGGTCAACATTTGGGCCAACGAGAAGAAAACGAATGGCAGGGTCACCAAATAAGACAAAAGAAAAGGCTAAATCACAAGGTTTGTTGGTAATTAAAAAAAATGAGCTTAGCTTTTGTCGCTTAAATATTCTTAAATAGGAAAGTTCAGCTATTGGGTCGATTTCACTACACACGACAGTTATGAGGACTTACTTATAAAAATGTTTAAAAAAATATATAATAGTATATCATCAAAATTTCTTCTAACTGACAATTGCAATGAGCAACAACAAGGATAGGGAGGGGAAAAAAAATTCGAATTATATGTAGAGTGAATGTGTAATTTGACCATTTTAAGTCTTAAACTTTTAAAAAATACATTTTAAACTTTAAACAATTAAAGTTGAGATAATTTCACCCTACCATTAAATTTTAACAAACATTCGTTAGTTTTTTCAAAAATAAAGTTTAATATGCAATTTTCCTTAAATGAGAATAGAAGAAAGAGGGATGATAAAATTTGACAAAAATTACATATTAGACCCTAATTTTTAAAAAATTAACAGACATTTGTTCAAATTAATGGTGGGAGCAAATTTCCCTTAATTTTAATTGTTCAAAGTTTAGAATATATATTTTAAAAATTTAAATTCAAATTATTCATATACATATAATAAAAAGTTTAAATTATATATTAAGCTTTATATATGTGTATTAGTGTCATAGTGTGTGTGTACAATTTTTTTTTATTTTATTGACTGGAAACAAAAGAGAAGGTTGTTAAATTAGTTATTTAGATGTCTTTGTCAGGTGAACAAGTTGAGACAATAATAAAAAATACAAGACAAATTTCCGTTGCCACCTATGGCTATGAGGTTTGGTTTCTGGAATTAAAATGATATTATACTTGTCAATGATGGCTATTCTTTGTTTGTATTCGTTTTAGTATAAATCGAATATTTTTGTTGAATTGAATGATCATCCCGAGAGTTTCTATGTACAGAAAATATTTGTTGTTTATAATGCATTAACAATTATTTAGTCTCAAAATTGTCATTGACTTTTAAATTTGACTTCTTAAAGTTTATTTTAACCCTCATACACTATGTTCCAATCAAATAATATTTAACTTTAACTACTCAGTTGATGCATTAATATTTGAACTGGTACAAAATGACATCATTATAAACAAAATGCATATAATCAGTGAAAGAATATTTTTATAATAAAATAAATATTTTTTTCTAATGCACAAATATCTTTTTATTAAATAATCTTATTTGACACGCGATTATATATTAACTGTAAGCATTTCTTTCAAGATTTGGATTTTTGATAGTCACACTATGAATTATTAGCCTTCTTTTTTTTTTTAACTAAACTCAAGCCTCATTGGTTAAAAAAGAAATATTTAGTCAAAGAAAATATACAGCCTATTCAAAAATATTCAAATTAAAGTATTGTTAAAGGATAATTTTTCTTGTTTAAAATCAAAAGATGTAATCTCCTTTTCTTATATCTAATGGCCTAATTAATCATATAACAAGTATAGATATGAATTAGATTTGAATAATACAACATCTTTATTTTTTTTTATGGCTATTTAGTGTGTCCCCACTATTATTGAAGATATTTAGGCTTCTCACTGTCAATAACCAGGATTTAGCGGAAACAGGTTTGAAAATGAGAAGTCACAATAGATACATAGAAACATGCCATAATTTTACGCTATTCAACATGAGTGATGAATGTAAAAATCAAATACCTAAATTTGCCGGGTGAATTCAAATACAAGTGGTGGAGTAAAATATATAACTACATACATACGTACATACATACATACATATATCTTGAAATCTCAAAATAATAGTCATGTAATCTAATGACATATAAGCTTTTTTACAAATGAGAAGTCATGAGTTTAATCCCACTTATAATTATAATCACAGGCCGTTAGTGCCTCCTGCTATAATTAAAAATAAAATACGGTCATCTGCTTAATTTCAACTTAATTAATTGATATTTTTGGGAGAATATATATATATATATACACAAATATTCATCCACGTGTTGGTATCTTTATACAGACATAATCATATTGGTATCCCACTAATCAAGCTATCATAGGAAATGGTAATCAATAATATTCCTATCACCCTACAATCTCTCCGATAATCATGCTATGAGAATATTTACGGTGATACTAAATCTCAACGAATTCTATTATTAACCAAGTTTAATTATTTAATTTGAAATAAAATGAATTATAATCTTTTTTTTTAAATTTAGCATGAATACTCAAACCATGTTTACTATAGATTTAAATTTAGTAAGTAGCCTAAATCCACTAACTTTAATTTAATTGAACGATTATAAGAAATTTTATCATATAATAATTAGAAAATACCAAATCTTAATTTTTTGGCTGGGACATCATATGTGATGAGCTCTTTAATCATGTGGATTGTTTTGAATTTTTTGGGAACAAATGTATAATCTTGATAATTTTCAAGCATCCATAAAATGTAATGGTTAAAATTTAAACACTCAATGATTGAGTGAACTTAGGTCATTCACAAAATATAAATCCTCTTTACTATTCACACGTCCTCCTTACCACCTAACCTACATTAATAAGGAATACTCTTAAACTTCCATCAATAAAAAAATGGTTAAGGTGCTTTGAAGAGAGGGAAGGATAACAAAGATTAATAAAAAAGAAAATTCATGAATAAAACTGGATGAAGGGAGTATTATTTACACATATTACCAGAAAATTTATCAATAAATTAAACTGGATATAAGTCAATAAATTTTACATGCGTGTTCAGCATTAATCCTTTCAATACACACAAGGTATAGGGTTTCAATTCTAAGCATTTCAAAAATTCTGCTATCCAGAATAGTTAGAGCAACAACATGAAAATATGGAAGAACAAGCTTTAAATGATGCAGATCAGAGTATTGGCACAATAATGTTGCTGAAATTGACGACTTTACCAAGATTATTATAGATCTGGAGACAACAAGGAGAAAATTAAACCTATGTAATGCTTGGCGTTTTCTTTCTGGCACATATATGCACTTTGTTTTCAAAAAAACTTGAATATTAGAGATCGTGCAAAGAAAAATATTATAAAGCTGAACAATGGTGTTATGTTGCTTAGCTGTCTCTTTGAATATATAACCAATAAGGCATGTCCTAAGGCAAAGGTTGGCATTATTAAAGCGGATAAACTTAGATTAGAGGTGGTTCTAAGCTGCTTTCTAAAAGAAGGATTTAATTTTTTTTTCCATAAGTGGTCCATTTCTAAAGCTTAAACCAAATTTTAGAACTGACATTGCCTAGCTTTTCTGATTTTAACTTGTTGGTTCTTACTGCAGCCACGAATTCAAATTTGATTGTTTGAAGCCAGAAAATGGTGAGCATCACATCTGGTTCCGCTGCGATTCCAAGTGAGCCAACTCCAAAGTGTTCTTTCTGGTTATCTGGAAGTGATCAGAGTTTTCCTTCGGCTCACGTGCCACTCTTCTCCAATTACAAGGCATTCGCACACTTGCACTTGAGGTGGTCGTTTGGAAGTTGATTGAAATTCAAGTCAATGCCATTGGAGCGCAATCTTTGGTGGCTGAATCAACCAAAACATATAGTTCAATTCCATGTGATTTAATTATTTCATTTTAATTTTAATTGTTTAACCTTTTTTTAATTTACACAAAACCCACTTCAATTCCATGTAATTTTCTAGCACACCAAACAAACTTTTAAAGCCCAATTTTAATTT